ATTGAAACCCAACTACCCCATCACTGGCTATGAGCATGAGCATTGTAGAAAGCAAGGGTTAGCAGTGAGCACTTTTCAACTACAGGCATCATTATAATCATAATAGGGCTATCAACCAAGCATGCAGTGACATGTCTACATGTACATATGCATGTAGACATGTCTCTGCTCCTATTGTTCTTGACCTGGGATGGAGACACTTCGCAAGAGGCATGCTTGAGACAGCATAACAAATTGCAACCCTGCATTCGTCTCCCTCAACCTTACGAGTACTGCCTTACTTACATTAGAATTGGTTTTCCTCTAGCCTGGCTGTCGGCCAGAACTGTCTCCAGGACACGCTGTGCCTCGCTCATACGCTCACTATTGCTGCTGTCAACGACGAAGACCAATCCATGGACCTGTGCAGTGCATGTACCGGCATATAGAGTATACCACAGAGCAGCTACTGAGAGAAAACCCTTGGCATCAAGCAAGCTATTTTTGTAGTAATCCCGAGTCTCCCGCACTGACAGCTAAGTCATCATCGCACAACGTTGGTGCTTCGAAGTAGCACAAGGCCGTCACAGGTGGGGCGGCTGAGGCTGCCCCACTTTGCCGGCTTTTTTTATATATTTTTAGCACACTGCAACAAAGCACGATGATCCCAGCTCAGCGCAAACGCGGCGAATAATGAAGAATCCTTGTCCCCGATCGTGGTTTGTTGCAGAATCAAAAAGTCTTTCATTGCAGTTACATTGAAATGGCACCAAATGCCTGGAAATGCTTGCAATTGGCTTCAATTTTTGAAATTTTTTCCCGGGGGAGGGTAATGAAGAATCCTTGTTCCCGATCGTAGCGTCGTCTTGGTTTGTTGCAGAATCAAAAAGTCTTTCATTGTAGTTACACTGAAATGGCACCAAATGCCTGGAAATGCTTGCACTGATTGGCTTCAATTTTTTGAAATTTTTCCCGGGGGAGGGTAATGAAGAATCCTTGTCCCCGATCGTAGCGTCGTCTTGGTTTGTTGCAGAATCAAAAAGTATTTCATTGTAGATACGCTGAAATGGCACCAAATGCACGGAAATGCTTGCAATTGGCTTCAATTTTTGAAAAGTTTTCCCAGGGGAGGGCCCCTGAGCCCTCCCCCCCTTCCATGGCTGCCCCACCTCCAAAGTCGGTGCGACGGGCCTGAGCAGTGCAGCACTCTGCTGTTTGATGGCTCATAGCAGTGCTTCGTTCAGTGCACAAAGCTGAGGGTTGCAACAAAGCAACCCAAGTGAAGTTTTCTTCGTATCCCGGTCTCTTCTCCTGGTGGCACCAAGTGCTCCTTGTGCTCAGGGCAAAGGCTTCTGTGGCTGCACTGCTCGACAACTCAACAACCATGCCATAGTTCATAACACCTGCCCCAGGCTGCACGCTTGGGTATCAACGGAGTGTGTTCATATACCGCTCTAGCCGATCCGGCTGAGGATAAGTCCAACCACAACTCTGAAATTGGGGACACTTGAAGTACAGGGTTGCATCAAGCAGCATGCCCTGATCAGCAAAGAGAATATTTCCAACAACCACTGATAAAAAGATGCCATTCCTAAGGCCTACCTTAGAGAAGAAGTTTTTCCAGAGGCTCCTAAGGCGAACAGCACCAGCCATGTCCAGCAGTGTAATATCGTAGTGGCCTTGCTTCATGTGAGTCGAGTGGTGACTAGTTGCAGCTGAACCAGGCCGCCTAGTTGGTCCAGATTGAACATCTACAGTACAGGCCAGAGAGAGAAAGAGAGAGATAGATAGATAGATAGATAGATCGAGAGAGAGAGAGAGAGAGAGAGAGAGAGAGAGAGAGAGAGAGAGAGAGAGAGAGAGAGAGAGAGAGAGAGAGAGAGAGAGAGAGAGAGAGAGAGAGAGAGAGAGAGAGAGAGAAGGGGAAACAGATACTCACAGATAGACAGACAGACAGAAAGACAGACAGAAAGACAGACAGACAGACAGAAAGACAGACAGACAGACAGAGACATACAGACAGACAGAGACATACAGACATACAGGCAGACAGACAGATAGACAGACAGACAGACAAGTCAGATATTCAACAAGAAACAGTGTAGAGTAATATTCTGATGTACTCCAAAGAAGGCATGGTTGGCAAGGGTCCAATTATAAAGGCAACCAGTCCGCAACTAGGAGTTGCCAGAAACTTAAAATTAGGGGTGTCAACGAGTAGTAGGGTACCCGTGCTACCCGTAATTTGATCGGGTAGTAGGGTAGCAATTTTCTCCTGAGAACCCGATCGGGTAGTTGGAGTACGGTGTTTTCGCAACGGTGCATGTAAACAGAACGGATACCTGCTTACTGTTCACTTTCTATGCAGTGCAAGTGCACACTCACAGTACATGCTGTGTCAACAAATACCCGATAGGGTACCCGTGCTACCCGGATAAAAATACCCGAAACCGTTACCCGACCAAACCCCTACCCGTTGCAGCCCTACTTAATATGTACTTGTATACTGCGCACAAGTAAGCACTTTTCATGCCAATCAATCTTTTCGGTGCAGTTTTGTAGAAAGCCATTTTGGGACTCAGATGGGCTAGAATGATCAATATACACTACTGCAGATCTTGGGAGTCCAGATAGGGAAATTGTACTGTATTGCATCACCTGACTCTGCGAATTCTTACCTTTGGACAAGCAACGCACTACACTGGTTTTGCCAGCTCCGTCTAGACCGATCACCATGAACGTAATATCCCTATGTACAGCACACAGGCAATTGAAAACATCACCTCAAATCCACAAAAGCTCAAAAGCAAACTGTAAGAGTTGAATCTCAAATAAAGCAAAAAACCTAACAATTTTACAAGAACAAATCCATTGTCAGCTTCACAAACGTAACCTAAAGTGACTATTCCTTTCTCTCCTCTGTGCTAGAGAAAATAAAAGGGGGGTTGTCAACTGACAACCGCTCTATTTAGTTGCTATTCACTCTTTCTGTAAGTTTGTATACCTGGTGATGTTTGTGCCTGGAGAGCACTATATAAGTGGTGCTCTTCAGGCACAATCTTCCTCAGCCTACTCAAGCTCAACTGATGAGGGGTGAATTCCCCGAAACACTGTGTATTGAGCAGGGAGTGGTGATTTCTTGCAGGTTTGCCGAGTGGACGGTTCGATGGACTTTCGTGTGCTCTGGATGGCAGTCGTGAGTCAGTCAAGTGAGAATTCAAGTCGGCAGGAAAAGCGCGAGCTCCCATGTAGGGAGCAACACACTCTTCCGGCCTTGTTCACTCTTTAGACGAAAATTCTTTGTGCTAGAGAAAAGTAGAAAAAACGGGTGTGATGGCTTGGATCGTTCAATGTGGTGCCCGCTTAGAGGATATTGAAAACTTTCTCCTCTTCCAGTACACTTTGTCTTGGTACATAGGCAGGAAAGTGTCAACAGTTTCTATAGTTCATTCAGATTGGCAGGATGAGATGCAAGTCTTCAGTGTTTTGATATTATCCTTCAAAGGCCCTGCCCGAAGAAAGTAAATTCGATCAGAGCAATCACGCGCCTGCAATGGATGCAGACATGGCCACACAGCATAACAACGTTGTAGAGAAAGGAAATCCCATTACATCTGCCATGTGCCAGACAAGCAGGGAAGGCTAAGGTGACAATCGAGAGGAAACGAGCACCACCCTCACATGCCAACCTCAATAGAGCCAGACACAGTCTCTCATACTATTACTTCGAATTACACTCAGTGACTTTTTTATCTACTAGTACTTGAGAGCACAGCACCAGACTGGATGAGATTGAAACAGAGGCAAGGAGACGACAGGAAGTGAGCCTATACAAGGACAGCTGGAATAGAAAAGGAAATGGTAAACATGAAAGGTGGTCGCTACAAGGACAGTCACAGCTGTACTGATGAGACTACTGGTATTCCAATGACCAATAGGTTCCTGCGGCTTCTGATGGTCAGAATAGACTTTGGACCGCCTGCACATTTGCTGACCGTACTACAGTGTTACCAAGTGCCCTCTACCCCCATGCGTACTGCCCAGTGCCATTTTGCAGAATTTTTCAGAGTTTTCCGTACTCGTTTTTCAGGTCAACAATTTGACTGATTTAGTGTAATTTGGAAGAAAAAACGATACTGTACAACTTTTCCAGCCACAGAGTTCACTTGCGAAGCCTACGAATTCAGTACAATTTTCAACTTCACCAGGTCATAACTTTGGTCTATATTTCTGGAATCCGATATCGCAACGCTTCCGTGAGTGTTGCATTGGACAGCTTGGAGTTTTGGCTGCCACGTAGATCCTTCGATTGTTGAATTGGCACAAGAAACGATGGAGTTACGAAGGTTTTAGCAATTGATCATATACATGATCGTTTGCGGGATATCCGATTGAAATCCGTACTGCGGACAAAACTTCTTTTTTCCGTAAAAATACGGACAAATACGGGCGGTTGGCAACACTGGTACTAATATACTGTGTGTATGTAAGTATGGTAAGTGGCGTGGCGAGAATGCCACGGGAGTTCAGTCTACACGTTCATGTCATGTTCAGTTGCGATCTGCTTTCTCTTCCTGATTGCCATTGCGGTCATGCTGTCTGTTCTCTGTGATTTGACCTTTATCTCCTGGCATCTTACTGTCTTCATGTGCTCCCCTTGGGGGCACCTTGATGCCTGATGTAATATCGAATTTGTACAGCGGGCTACCATTTAGGTTCCGCTGCGGTCGGTTTCGCTGAGCCAGCCTTGGCACTGTGTAGCCTTTTTGGTTGTTGTGTTCTTGTGCGTGCGGCATGAGGTTTTTAGCTGTACCTTTGTTTGGCTGCGCTGCCTTTTGTTTTCCAGAGAGTTTTTCTTTGCTCATGTAGTTTTTAGAACGAAATAGTCGGTTCGTGACATGGCGTTCTACTTCTAATCAACCATAAAGTCTTTCGTGTTGTGAGTGACTCCGTCGAGTGTGAGCTTGGTATACGGCCCATTACGGGACTGCGTGCGGCAGAAGCCTAGCGAAACACCATTTTGGTAGCAGAGGATGGTTTGATAGTTGATACACGTTTCGATCGAAGAAATTTAGTTACGAGGTTGGATTTCAAAAATAGTTCCAACCATGGAGGAAGAACGAGAGAAAAGTAGTGCATGCGGAGAATATAGTGCTGAGACTGAGACAGCGACGGCGGCATCGATGTCAGAGCCGACCGGAGAGGATGGCGCTGGTTCTGGTGAACCTACGGAAGGCATGGAGAGCCTGATCATGAAGCTGAAAAGTGATAAGATACAACTGAAACGCAATCTAACGAATACCCGACGTGGGTTGACGATAGGAATGCGCGACAATGAGGTCGACGCTGTGGGTGCAGGACACCTTTACGATGAGCTGCGCTGCTGTGAGCAAGCAGTAACAGCAGTGCTTTCCGAGCTGAAAAGAAAATATGAATTCGTAAACGATAAAAGGAACGTGATACGGACTTTGGAGGAAATGGAGGAAGTCGATCGCGATGTGCAGACGGCAATTGACAGATACGACGAGTTTGTAGAGTTGTGGACTGCAAGAGCGAAGCAGTATGGACAGGCTCAAGCAGCACAGAGCCAGTTTGAACGAGGGGAGTCGTTTCCTTTACTGGGTGTGGATGAATTCGGACTACGCCAAGGCAGTAGATCAACTAGTCGAGTCGGTTTACGACAAATGCAGAGTGAACTGAGTGCGCTGACAATGGAAACAGATCGCAGGACTGGACTGCTACTAGAAAGATCACCGTCACGGAGGACGCCGAGAGGCTTTAGTACTGATGACAGCAAGGACACAGCAGCTGAAGAGACCGACACCAGTCCAAAACCGGGTGAGCAAGGAGCTGATCAAACGGAGAATAGCCTTCCCCCTGCACACACCACTGAGTCTGTCACCAGCCTCCCCAGTTCAAGTCACAGTGTCAGTGTACAGTCTAGTATCACGTCTTGTACTACCACTGCACAGCATGTACCTGTCACAAGCTCAAGTGTGACTAGACCCATACCTAGTTCTGGACAAGGTGTACCTGTGAAGGACCATGTTTCTCTGGTCAAATCTAGTACCAGTCAGCCATCTAGCCTTGCTAGCATTCATGCCAGACTTGCAGGCCCAAGCAGTGGTCATGTAGGCAAGTCTGTGTTGAGTGTTGGATCTTTTCCAGGACATCCTGGAGCTAGCCTCAACTTTCAGGCCCCTGCGTTCCGGCCTGCAGCTCAACCAGTAAGCAGCAGAGCACCTGTGTACGGCACTGGGTTGCCCAGCAGTGATGTCTTTGGAAGGCTGAAGAAAGTAGCTGTTCCGACCTTCAGCGGAGATGTGCGGATGTACGAGACCTGGAAGGCCGCCTTTATGGCATGCATTGACGCTGCACCTGTCTCTCCACAACTTAAGCTTCTACAGCTTCGGCAGTATGTTACTGGTGAGGCACTCAGAGCAATAGAGCAGCTTGGCTACACCGCAGAGGCATACAGGATATCCCTGGAGCGGCTTGAAAGAAAATTCGGCGGACAACGACGTCAGGTGGCTATACAGCTGGAAACATTGGAAGCATTCCAGCCGATACAGCGCTACAACCCGCAAGCACTGGAGAAGTTTGCAGATTTGCTCGAGATTGCCGTAGTGAACCTCAAAGATGCAGGTCGCCACATGGAGCTACAGAACGGCACATTCTTCTCCCGTCTCCTGAGCAAGCTGACGAAGCAGATGGTGGCTCAGTACCAACGTTGGTTGTACGAGCACCAGCAAACCGAGGATGTGTTATCATTGTTGAAATGGGTGACACTGGAGGCTGAATTCCAGACTACGGCAACAGAGATAGTAGACGGTATCCAGAAGTCGGCATCATCCCGGCCAAGTAGCCATCGCTCGTTGCAGCAGCGCAACGCTCATACACACTTGGCAGACGGACAGACGGCACGAGACGAGGAGACTTCTTTCATATCCTCTCGCGCCACTTGTCCAGAATGCAGCGGGAGCCATGGCATTTGGGAATGCTCCACCTTCAAAGGACACGACACAGGCCAACGGTGGACAAGAGCAAAGGAATTAAGCCTGTGCTATCGCTGCCTGGGAACAGGGCACAGAGGCGACAAGTGTCCTCGAACTCGCACTTGTGGTGTCGATGGTTGCCAACGGAATCATCATCGTCTACGACACGGCTTGGCACGATCAGATTTTGAGATCAGGAAGAAGCCGAGAGCCGATGGCAAGGAAAGGAGTTATGACAAAGCAAACACCAAGGCTGAACAAGGACACTGTGGCGTCGCAACAGCGCATGAGACTCCAACGGAAGGGGAGTCCCCCCAGCAATGCAGCAATGCAACAGCCGAGACGAGCTACACCAGTTTACGCACTGTGCCTGTCGTTCTCAGGTCCGGTAGTAAGCGGCTCGTCGTCAATGCGCTTCTGGACGACGGAAGTACCAACACCTTCATCCACGAAGACGTTGCCACAGCGCTAGGAATGAGTGGTGAGCAGCATGACATGACTATCAATATGCTGAATGGAAAGCGGAGCACTTTCAAATCCATGGAAGTGGAGTTTGATATCGCCAATATTAACGGTCAATCACGGACAACCGTAGTCGGACTCACAACTCCCAACCAGGTAACAGGACGTCTGCAGCTAACGGACTGGAGTAGCAAGAAGATTGGCTATGAGCACTTGGCTGATATACCGTTTCCGGAACCGGCCACCCCTGAAAGGATCGAGCTGCTCATTGGCGTCGACAATGCCGAGCTTCATCGTGCGTTGTATGAAGTGTCTGGACCAGCCGGAGAGCCCATCGCGCGTCTCACACCTCTCGGATGGACCTGCGTCGGAGCAGGGGTTAGCCGTGGCGGGGGCACAAACCACTGCTGCAGCGCTATCATCGCCAGCAGCGAGACCCTCCTGAGTGTGGATAAGACTTTGCGACAGTTCTGGGAAATTGAGCAAGTGACCAGCCCAGAACACCCCATGTCACCGGAAAACCTGGACGTCCTGACAGCGACAAAGAAACGAATGACGTTCACCAATGGTCGCTACTGTGTCGGGATGCCATGGCGGGCAGATGCATCACGGCCCACCAACAATTACGACATGGCAGCGAAGAGACTTGCGCAAACACAGAAGAGGCTGAAACGGGTCCCAGAAATTGCAGAGCGCTATGCAGAGACCATTGAGAGTTACGTGAGAAAAGGGTACGTGGTGAAGGTGAATGCAAACCCACGTGAAGCAGGATCGTGGCTCCTTCCACACTTCCCGGTCGTCCGACTGGACAAAAGTACGACGAAAGTTCGCATTGTGTTCGACGGGTCAGCTAAGCATGATGGCACCGCCCTCAACGACCTGCTGCACACCGGTCCGAAGTTACAACGGGATCTATCGGCTGTTCTGCTCAGGTTTCGGCGGCATCCGATCTGCATTGGCTGTGATGTTACGGAGATGTATCTACAGGTTGAAGTCAGAAAATCAGATCGGCCATATCTGAGATTCCTGTGGAATACAGACTCGCAGTCGGCTCCAGACGTGTACGAATTCAACCGGGTGGTATTCGGTCTGAACTGCTCCCCGTTCTTAGCGCAACTGGTCGCGCGAGAGCACGCTAAGACACTAGATCCAGAATTCGCCCGTGCAGCCGAGATGATGCTCGAATCAACTTACATGGACGACGGTATGGACTCAGTCTCTACGATTGCCGAGGGTGTGGCCCTGTACAAGAGTGTGACAGCAGCATGGAAGGGAGCAGGCATGGCAGTGAGGAAGTGGCTGTCGAATGCTCCGGAGCTGTTGGGTCACATACCCAGAGAAGATCAGGCAACGCAACTCAGCCTGAACGGAGACGGCCCATCCCAGATTAAGACTCTAGGGATCAGCTGGTTGAGCGACAGCGACATGTTCAGCTTTCAGGCTGTCATACCACCTGACGATATGATGATGACGAAGAGGAACATCCTCCGAAAGATCGCGACGATCTTCGACCCGCTAGGATTTCTGGCACCAGTGATCATCCGTGCCAAGATACTGATGCAAGAGATCTGGGCTAGCGGTGCAACTTGGGACGAAGTGCTTCCCGTCGAACTGAGCTCACGTTGTAGACAGTGGTTCCAGGATCTCCTTGCACTGAGCTCAATTCAAGTGCCACGCTGCTTGCAGGCCATTGCAGGCGCTACACCGCAAGATGTCGAGCTTCACGTATTTGGCGACGCATCAGAGTTAGCGTATGGTGCCGTCATCTACCAACGTATCCGCTACGCCTCCGGCGAGATCAGCACCGTATTTGTGTCTGCTAAGTCACGAGTTTCGCCAACTACCGCCACAAGCATCCCACGGCTCGAATTGATGGCTGCTGTGCTGGGAGTCGAAATGGCCAACGAAGTAGCCAAGGTGTTGCAGATCAACCCGCAGAACATCATCTACTGGACTGACAGTATGGACGTGATCTGGTGGATCCGTGGCCGGAGTCGCTTGTTCAAGACGTTCGTTGCCAACAGAGTGAGCACGATTCACCAGGCAAGCAGCCCAGATCAATGGCGGTATGTCCCTACGGCAGAGAACCCGGCTGATATTGTGTCGAGAGGATGCGCCCCAACATCGCTCACGCCGGACAGTATGTGGTGGACCGGTCCTAGCTTCATGGCCAAGCCGTCTGATGACTGGCCAGTACGACAGTTACCTACAGCCCAAGCAAAGGAAACAAAGTCCATGAAGGAGACCGTTCTGATGAGCAGCACTGAGACGGGTACTGATGATGAGGGCACAGGCGCAACGGAGCCCAGTGTTTGGCGACTGGAACCGCAGCGATACTCTGATTTGGAGCGCTTGATTCGTGTGCAAGCGTGGGTGATGAGATTTCTTCACAACGCTCGCGCGCCACACGAACGCCGCGAACTGGGTGAATTGACAGTGGACGAATTGAGTGAGTCTGAGTTGATGCTGGTGAAATCAGCGCAAGAGTCTGAGTTCCGAGATGAGATCAAAGCCATCAAGAAGGGACAACCTGTGAGTTCCCAGAGCAAGATTGCAGCACTCCATCCACAGTTAGATGACAGTGGTTTGCTGCGTGCAAGGAGTCGTCTTCAGTACGCGGACTTCTTGCCCTCTGACACGATCTCACCGATCATCCTTCCCAGGACGCATCCAACGACTAAGCTTGTGATCACGCGGATCCATGGCAACGGTCATCACGCACTCGGCAACAATCAAGTTCTGAACGAGTTAGTAAAGCGGTTCTGGGTTGTCGGTGCACGCGAAGCAGTCAAGGAAGTGGATCGTCAATGTCCTGAATGCCAACGCCGAAAGGCCAAGCCTGCTAAGCAGCTCATGGCGCCACTGCCAACACTCCGGATTGAACCCGGCACCCGTGCGTTTGAAAGGGTTGGAATCGACTTTGCAGGACCGATGTACACCAAGCAGGGACGCCGAGCGCAGGCAAAGAGATGGCTGTGCATCTTCACCTGTCTTGCCACACGCGCTATCCACATCGAAGTAGCGTATGGTCTTGATACTGGAAGCTTTCTGAACTGATTCTTCCGAATGGTCGGACGACGTGGCGCCCCACACGAGGTGCTCACTGACAATGGCACGAACTTTGTTGGTGCAGTAACCGAGCTACGCGAGTTGAGAAGTGAACTGGACGAGAAGAAGATCATCAAGGCAACCAACGGTCAACGAATTCAGTGGCACTTCAACCCACCCGCAGCACCGCACTTCGGAGGACCATTTGAGGTCATGGTGAAGGCTGCCAAACGAGCACTGTACGCCATTCTGAAGTCAGGTGACATCACAGATGAGGAGTTAGTGACGGCAACGATTGGAGCAGAACACCTGATCAACAGTCGGCCCTTGACAACGGTATCTTCAGATGCCAGAGACTGTACTCCTATCTCTCCAAGTGACTTGCTGCTAGGCGACGCGAGTCACAGTATTGATGTACCCGGTGATGACCCAGCAGCTAGCCTGAGGAGACGCTGGAGACGAGTCCAGGAGCTGGTCAGACATTTCTGGGCAAGATGGATGCAAGAATGGCTGCCCATGCTGAGTGGTCGTGCCAAATGGAAGAAACCCTACAACAACGTGCAAGTCGGTGATGTCGTTATCCTACTCGCCAAAGACACACCACGTGGCCAGTGGCAGCTGGGACGCGTTGTCGATGTTCACCCAGGACGTGACGGGCTGGTACGAGTCGTGGACGTAAAGGTGAAGAACACCACGCTACGTCGCCCAATAAGCAAGATCTGCCCGCTGGAAGCATATCAGTGAGTTACTGAGTAGCAATAGCATTGGACCATCGCCATTGAAGTATGGTCATGTCTTTTCACTCTCTTGCTTCTCTCTTGCTTCGCACATGTTCTTTCATGTTGTTTTCATTTCTTGTTCCGTTGCCTATCATCTTTTTTAGATTTTTTGTTTTTTTTTGTTTCTGTTTGCTTGAGCACTAGCAACTCAGGCAATCTTTTCTGTTTTTCTTTCATTTTTCCGCTTCGAGTGTTGGTGATGTATCTCTCCGTAGACACATCAGGAAGGGGAGAATGGCGTGGCGAGAATGCCACGGAGTTCAGTCTACACGTTCATGTCATGTTCAGTTGCGATCTGCTTTCTCTTCCTGATTGCCATTGCGGTCATGCTGTCTGTTCTCTGTGATTTGACCTTTATCTCCTGGCATCTTACTGTCTTCATGTGCTCCCCTTGGGGGCACCTTGATGCCTGATGTAATATCTAATTTGTACAGCGGGCTACCATTTAGGTTCCGCTGCGGTCGGTTTCGCTGAGCCAGCCTTGGCACTGTGTAGCCTTTTTGGTTGTTGTGTTCTTGTGCGTGCGGCATGAGGTTTTTAGCTGTACCTTTGTTTGGCTGCGCTGCCTTTTGTTTTCCAGAGAGTTTTTCTTTGCTCATGTAGTTTTTAGAACGAAATAGTCGGTTCGTGACATGGCGTTCTACTTCTAATCAACCGTAAAGTCTTTCGTGTTGTGAGTGACTCCGTCGAGTGTGAGCTTGGTATACGGCCCATTACGGGACTGCGTGCGGCAGAAGCCTAGCGAAACACCAGTAAGAACACCGCATGACTGACAATCTTCATGTCTCCACTGGTCACCTACCTGCGTTCCCTCTCCGCAGAGCAGCAACAACAGCATGACAAGATCTTCATCTGTGCAACACACACGCCACAGGAAAAGGTAAAGCCATCTGCATCATGTCAACGAGAGAACATTATAAAGCATATGATGAATGACAGGGACAGAAACAACATTCACAGGAAGACCAATAGCAGCAGCCACCACAACAGCAACAAAACAGCCACAGCAACACTAGTGGTGGCAGTCGCAGCAGCAGCAGCAGCAGTATCAGAAGCAACAGAAGCACCAGCAACAACATCAGCAGCAACAGAAGCGGCAGCAACATTAGCAATAGAAGCGGCGGCTGCAGCAGCAGCAGCAGCAGTACCGACAGCATCAAGTTGTAGCAATATATCTATGTAGTACAGTGGACAGAAAGGCTCCGTGGTTGCATCCACAGACCACAGCGCCTTTCTGTCCACTGTTTGACTGTATCTATAGTATTACAAAGCAGAGTTGGTCAAACCACGAAGAGGAGCCTGCAACACAAGTTCAACAACTGATGATCTGCCCTTTATCCACGGAGTAAGAGCTGAACAAAGTTTACAAAGTTTCCGTCCATTGTGAATCCACGGTGGCAGACTCCATTTTGCGGGTTGAGCACTTTGGAAAGACAACAGCAACTGTGCATAGACATTTTTTATCGATATTTTTGAACAACAGTTGTTGGCCCTGTTGCCATGAAACTCGAAGTAACAACAGAGCAACGTGTTCTGCCTTTGTGAACATTATGTTCACTGGTTTGAGGGAAAGATGCAAACGGGGAATATTATGTGGCCGGAGTATTTCTGCCATTCTGGATCAATTCAATACCAAGTAAGGTTTTCCACAGCAACATGGCTCCTACACGTGACTGTCAGTCTTCTCTATTTTAGCAGTACATATAATAAAATATTATTATTATTATGAATAGTTTTGAATGAACTTTTCTGCATCGCGGTAAGATAAGACACACTACGCTTTGCAATACTCGGCTGCAAAACACACATCGTCCAGCATCTGCTCAGATTCACAAGAACTACCCAAACGCGACTCATTGGCTTTACCTCTGCTTCTCTTTGCGGCACCAATCGCCAACAACCACCATAGCGCGAGCTAAAGCATAACTCGGCGGTTATTGCCTCTTCGAGATGGGAAGTTGAGCGACAGGCTCTGTTGATTATGGTGCTTTCGTGTCTGCGTCGCCGTAACTCACCTTCACGGTGGAATCTTGTTGAACTAATTACTCACTTAGTTTCTCGTGGAATCTTGCATACATTCACAGACGCAGCGTCTCAGGTGTCTCGGTTCCTCGCTAGCCAATGCACTCTTTCGCCTAGGCAACTGTTGTCCTGCGCTCCATTCCGCTCGCTGGGCAACCCTCACTCAATCACACGGACGTGCGCGCTCATCACACTACACTCTACAGACAGTAGATCTACAGGAAAGAGGCGAATCCCCTATCGGAGCAGACTTGCGTTTGAATATTTTCCAAGGCAAAACATGATCTCCCTTTCAACTGTTACTTCAACTAATTTTACTTCATGTCACACTTTTGTTACGGTTCGTACTTCGTTATCATCATGCAGGACACCGGCTGCATGCAGCTAGCCGGATTCGCTAGCCCGGCAGACCATGGCAGACCATGGTAGACCATGACAAGTCATGCAGACAGTGCTCGTACAGTCGGACTCGTAGGATGGACACACCAAACCAGTGTGACGTTCATGTGGACGGGTCTAGCAGACTAGCACGACTCCGGATCCCTGGTTTGGACAACGTCAAGAGGGAAGTTTGAAGAGATCATGTCCTTGTGCTGTTGTCAATCACTCAATCACCATGACTCCGATGTGACATGATCACGTACACGTACATCTCCACCATAATACTACAGTGCTAGTGGAGATTGGATAACAACACTTCTTCGGGAGAAAACAAAATGTCGCTATCTAAATTTTAGTATGCAATATCATGAATACGTACACAGTACATGTACATGTATATTCCACTGTGCAATCTTTTGGCAATACTAGTTTCCCGAGGATTGCAGAGATCTGAGATCCGTTTTCCACAAAAAAATATCCGGATAAGCGAGGGAACCGGATAATCGAACACCTTTTTTGTTGGATGCATCACGTATGGTGTACATCTGTAACCAGCTATTTTCTTACGGATGGCGAGGGATCCAGATAAAAGAGGACCGGAGAAGCGAGGTCTGACTGTACGGACAGGTTTTCTTCCACTGAACCAGCTTGTGTGTAGTGTGTACATTGCAATTTGCATTGCTAAACCGCCGGAATGAGACATCAATAGTACATTACCCGGGTTATGTGTACTCTTGGAGCCATGCAAAGAAGAATTCAGCCCGTCATTGAGATTGAGATGCATGATAAAATAATTATGATTATAATGAGTAGTGCTATGATGCTGTTATCTACAGCGTGCTTCAATAAATGTGCAGTGGTGGCACGTAAAGTCGAGTCCAGCCCTGGCACAGAGCAAGAAAACTGTGCTTGCACACTCAAAACTGGAAAGAACCCGGCAAAGACCAGCAAAACCCGGCAAAGACCAGCAAAACCAAGCAAAGACCGGCAAAACCTGGCAAAGACAAGCCAAACCCGGCAACGACCAGCAAAACCCGGCAAAGACCAGCAAAACCAGGCGAAGACAAAGACAAAGACTCGCTAATCAATGGCCCCAAGTGCAGTCGACTTCATTATGTGCAGGAACAGGCAGACACCTCTTCAGTGCTTCACAGCCTGGTGGTGCCCAGTTCTGCAAATGAAGCACCCGCAAATACACACACACATACACACACAATCAGATGCTCTCTTAGGTGCTATTTTGTCACCGCTGTGACCGCTGTCTGCTCTAGGATTTCAAACCAACTGGGTACACGTGTACCTGGCACAACTCTTGTAACCGGGTCAGAGCCGGGTCCGTTCAAGTGCGGCTACTGCATGTAATGTGACATCAGGGAGCCGTAACTATTTTAGGACTCCCCGAGATTATGCATTCCTAACCGGGTCACACGTGATCCGGTGTTCTTTTTCCAAACGGGTCCAAGTACCCCCCCCCCCCCCCCCCCAATCGGGTTGTTGACCCGGCTGATCCGGCTCTGGAGCAGCCACTGCTGACCACCAAAAGGTCCCACATAAGCCGATATAATAAGGGTCTTGTTTGCTGCTGCTCCCATCACCATTGTATTTGACTTGAAGAGTACTAGTAATGGTACAAAATGCCACGTCCAAACTTCCAGTATCTCTTCTGTGCCACGTGTGTTAGTTTGTTTTCCTCTAAGAAAACATCCTATACACTAAGATGCATGTGTAACTGTCATGCCGCAATGAGTACACTCATGCACATTGGCACACATCTCGGATGCCATTAGAAGTGTACAAACAACTATTCCGGGATGACTGAGGAAGCCAGGCTACACATATCCTGTGTTAGTGAACACATATATGCAGACACACACACACATACACATACACATGCACACACACACACACACACACACACACACACACACACACACACACACACACACACACACACACACACACACACACACACACACACACACACACACACACACATACACACACACACACGGCACACGCACATACACACATACACACACACACACACACACACACATACACACGAACACACACACACACACACACACACACACACACACACACCCATAGCATTCAATATTTGTACCTCACGGAGTTGCGGCGTACAGGGGGAAAACACGAGGTCATACTTCATAATACCCAACGCGATGTGCATTTCGATGCCGGGTTTGGAAGTTCTACATGATCCATTGCGGATGCAACTCGCAATCGCGGCCTTGACCTGGTGACCCCCAAGCACGGCCCAGACAAGCAGTGCCATATGCGAGCCTGGGTACATTGGCCCTGCCCCAAGAGGGATTGCAACGGGCTGCCCGGGGTCGAAACCCACACGATTTACCGTTGCAGATGCCCGTGTTGTCTCCCAGTGCACTACTTCTTCCTGATGTACATGCAGAATGTCCAGCCACCCCCCCCCCCCCCTACCAGCCCTCAGCCCCGCTTTGGAAGAAGACATTCCTATACATGCCATGCGGTAGACACTTTGCTTTATGCATGGGTGTGCTGGTTTGGCATAATGGTGAGGTTGTATGCTTTATGCATGGGTGTCCTGGTTTAGAATAATGGTGAAGTTGTGTGCTTTATGCATGGAAGTGCTGGTTTGGCATAGTGGTGAGGTTGGAAAACCTGCACACATGCCTCTTATTCACACTTAGACTAGTTCCATACCTGGACTGCTTTGTCACATTTGTTCAACGCTGGCTTGCCAGGAACCATCTTCTTTTTGTGGTCGTCCACGACTGGCCGTACCATGGCCATTGCTTGCTTGTACTCCGCTGTGCCCGATCTAGGACAGGAGGATTTAATTAAGACAGCACCCTATGTCAGTCATGTGTAAGCAATGTCTTTTGTGATGATATAATTTCAAAGTAGGTTGTCTCAGTACAATGAGGCATTACTCTATGATTTAGATGACTAAACATTTATTCATGAATGTGAGGGAGTTGAACGTGTATTCCTGGAAGATGGAGAAGACGTCAGTTGTCCCTGCGCTGAAGCTGCTTCCACTTTATGGGGCATTGCTAGATGTACTTCATGAAATACAACTTTAAGAACACAAATCCGTTGATCCCCGACTTTAAGAACACAGTATGTCTTCTTGTACTTTTGTCATGGCTAGGCTGGGTATCAACCCCATCTCTGGGGTTGATACCCACATTAGCGCTGCTATGCATATGCTATGCGACTGAGTTGAACATTAAAATAAGATGAAAATAATGTCATTAGCTCAGATGGTTAGAGCATTGCTCATAACAAGCAAGGTCCTGGGTTCGAGTCCTAGTGGCTCTGGTATTTTTTTCTCTTTTCAGGCAGTTCACTTCTCCGACTGATCCTTTGAATTTGAAGTTCTCCCAATCCTTTCAAAATGTTATTACTATGCCATTTCTTCAGAGTCCTCACCTTATTGGGTACTTCTCCCCTGGATCTCGACCCAAGTGGATGAGTATCGGTGTAGCCGTGTTGTTGACTTGATCGTGTGTAGTCACATTGGACACATCCTCTCCTGGGCAGTAGTCTATACCCTGTGACAAATAATATCCAACAAACAATATTTCAACGCAGCAACCAGAAGGATTGATTGCCGGTGCCGTACGCATTGTGTTGATTATGGCACAATTCATCCTTCTTGTCGCTGTATTGAAACGTTTGTCTGCAAAACGACTGTTAAAACAACATTTCAAGCATACACATTATCTCCACATCATAGTGCTACTCCAATAACGGTTTCTTCACTGCCAGTCACTTTATATTCCACCAAATTTCCAGCCTTGCCTATCTTTTCCTCTGATGATGCGCCACGAGTAAGTTTGATCTCTGTGCACGTTGAAAGGGTTTTTTAAAGTGGTTTCTATTTCGACGAGGAGGGCTTGAGCCAGATACAGCCATTGCACTACTAGATCTCTTCACTGCATACCTCACTAAACGTGTTCTCCAAATTTTCGGGCATGGCCTACCATCAGGGTAAAAACAGAAATCTGTGAAATAGAAATTTACGTAAAAGGCAAATGGATTCTGCTGCGGCCTAATGAATCTGCTGAACGTCAAAAAAAAAAAAAAAAAAAAAAAAAATGAATTGGCCGCAGTAAGGCCATTCCCCACTAGATGGGCATGTTACCGCATACGCAGTACTCCTGCTCTGAAAAGCCAGCATGCATGTCACAAGCAGCACACCGACCTTGTCGATATCCACCATGAAGTTAGTCCATGTCCAGTAGTGAGCCTTGTACATGCCGACACGCACTGCCATCATCTCATTGCCACGGTAATAGAAGATTGGTCTGTCCACCGGTGTATTGTTGAAGAGTGCTGGTGCCAGGCTGATGCCGTCAATGATACGATCCTGTGGTAGTTCAATACCAGCTAGGTCTAGACTTGTCGTGAACCAGTCCATCAGATTGCCGAGCTGACGGCTGATCTGCACAAGTTTAAAGCACGGCAAGAATGTTGATATGCCATGCCAGCCAGCCAATACATACATATTATACTTTTATCCAATGCTGGAGACAGCAAGCTGTTTCGGCCACACATGCCTCATCAGTATATCCACGAGCTTTAAGTAAGCCGAGCTACCGGCCATGGGGCAAAGGTGACACCACAGACATTTACTTGAAAAATATATTCACTTTGCAGTCAGACTCTGGATGGACATATTCAATGTACCACACACTCTACAGTGGTGGTAAGTAAAATCCCATCTCGTTATAACTGCCCCCCCCCCCCTCCCGAGCACCATGGACCTAGGTCTTTGAACACTGGGCTGTAGTCTCGGTGAGCTTAGTACTGTTGCATCGATCAGGTCATGCATGGTTCCACTTGCCACATGTTTCCACATGCAAACTACATCAGAGCTTTGCGACCCCCCCCCCCCCCCCCTCTCCAAGTGTCTTGCATTGTTCAATTGAGCAAAACCTGCTTGCCCGGCAAAATGCAAGCTAATATTGACGATTCTTTTCACGAAGCCTTCCCCGCTTCGCGGATACTTTGGGCTCATATTTCTCTATGTTTGCGGTGTTCTCGCAGAGCTGCATACGTAACCCCAGACCTTTTTACAAGTAGATTTGTTGGCTTTTTAGTATATTTATGAGACTTTGAGCAGCAAAAAGATGCAATGAGCTACCTAAACCGGAGCTTGTTGGTGGTAGTCCAGGAATATGTGCTTAAAGAAAAATCCTGAAGACCATGCCGCACACAGTATCCTAGTAGCTCTGGATAGCAAGCTTACAGTTCCAGGTTCGATCTTGCCAGGCCACCGTGCAATGGTTGGCTCCCTCATTCCACCTTCGTATGTCGTCTCCTTGCCGCACAGGAATGGCCCGTTACTGCCTCCTATTGTACAAATGAACAGGCATAAACAACACAAGGAGAGGGCACATTCAAGGTGAGGGTGGAGCGGCATTCAGAATCACATGTGTTTTGCGACACAGGCAAGTAGGAGCATAGTCCGGGGTGTTTTCGAGGAGGTTCGAGGTGACTAACAAAAGAGAAAGAAAGGTTAAACAGCCAGCAAGCCAGCCAGCCCGCCAGCCAGCAAGCCAGCCAGCAAGCCAGCCAGCCAGCAAGCCAGCCAGCCAGCCAGCAAGCCAGCCAGCCAGCCAGCCAGCCAGAAATACAGACAAACAAGCTCACAGGAAGGCAGGCACACAGCCTGTTAGTGCATCTCACCGGTTGTCTTGGCATACGTAGCTCCACCATTGTCGGACGAGAACATGACTAGTGTGTTTTCCTCAACACCAGCTGACTTGATTGCAGCCAGTATGACACCAACACCATAGTCCAACTCACGTACTGCATCGCCATACCTATAACAGTGTGTTCGTGTGTGTGTGGGGGGGGGGGGCAGGGGGGGGGCAAGGGGGGGGGGACGGAGACAAAGTCAGCACACCACTGTACTACTCAGAATGTGACAAATCTGCAGACATACTCCAACTTACCAAGGATAATCCTGCCTACTTTTGTATGTTCAACGGTTTAAAATGTTCATCCAACATCAGTATATAAACCCCTGATTATTTCCAACATCAGTATATAAACCCCTGATTATTTCCAACATCAGCATATAAACCTCTGATTATTTCCAACATCAGTATATAAACCCCTGATTATTTCCAACACTGAAATCAACAATAGACCACAACAAGATATACGGCAGTTTCAAAAGTTCTTCTTTGCATTGAGAGAAGTTCTATTGGGTACGAGCACTCTTCGGACAGTGGGACACGCTACTTGATGATAACAAATTCAATTGTCTACACCATCTCTCGTTATACTGGAAAGTATGGAGCAAGGTAGGATAGGCGAAGACATGTCTTAGCACAGCAGTCCCAGGTGATCTACAGTGCTGACAACTGAAATCCGACCCCTGGCCGGTGCGTAGCGGTCCCTGTTTCGTTGTGTTACAATCCCGTGTTGGGTCTTTGCGATGTGAGCGCACCCACCGCTCAGGGGGTCGGATTCCAGTTGCCAGTGCTGTAGTTGGTCCCATTCCGACTGGCCTGCGCAGGATTGCCCGGAATCACACTTACAGCCCTCGCTCGCTTGTTCCCAGGAAGTCGTGAGACGCATACAAGGGATCGTGCGTTGCGTCCACCGCCCAGTACAGCAAGAAGGGCGTGTCAGCGGCCGCCTGGGTGTTGATGAACGTTGTAGCTTCCTGGATAAGGTAGAAAGACGCTCAGAGCTTAGAAATGTTCAACACTTCCCACCTAGAAAGTTAATGTTGACACACACACACACACAGAGACCAAAATCGAATTTCACTTCATTGGGAATACTGACATACAGAAGTGGAAATTTCCATTGAGATTGAAGGTATGGCGTGTAAGTACAGCAGGGGCAAATCGAGTGGGGGGGGGGGGGGGGGAGGTCCAATGAACCCCATACATTTTGCAAAATGGAAATGTACTACTGGAAGCCATATGCATGTACATGTACACGTATCAGCTATTCAGTTTTGACTAAAGTGGACCCCCTGTAGAAATCTCTGGATCCGCCCCTGTACAGTGCATGAAACACCACGCACATTTGCCAGTGTAACCCCTCAGTAGATATTGACTACTGGCCTACCTCAATGTACTGCTGTGTCAGGTTAGAATAACCGGTAGTGTGATTGATCATGAACTCGCTGTCCTCATACAGCCTGCCGATCATGTGATCGTCACGATACATGGGGATGTTGGGACTTCCTTTGTCGTTGAACGGTCCAAAATGGCAGTTGGGAGCACCGTACCACTCGTCAAAGCCGTGCTTGTGAGGTAAGTACTGCGGCTGCTGTCCAAGATGCCTAACAGAGAGAGAGAGGCGGATGTAGGGAGAGAGAGAGAGAGAGAGAGAGAGAGAGAGAGAGAGAGACAGACAGACAGAGAGAGACAGACAGACAGAGAGAGAGACACACAGAGAGACACAGAGAGAGAGAGAGAGAGAGAGAGAGAGCGACAGAGAGAGAGAGAGAGAGAGAGAGAGAGAGAGAGAGAGAGAGAGAGAGAGAGAGAGAGAGAGAGAGAGAGAGAGAGAGAGAGAGAGAGAGAGAGAGAGAGAGAGAGCAGCGATACTGTGAGGAGGCAGAACGACACTGAGGACAGCATGTACAGTGCTGCTCAATGAAATCCAGTTGCATGAGTCAAGTTGGCGCCGTGCACCTTTTCCCAGGCCAATGTTCGCAGGTCTAGGGCTGCGCAACGCCCAGTGCGTACTTGAATAACGAAACTGGATTTCATTGAGCAGCACTGAAGTTAGTCCATTCCTGGAAATATTATCACTCTTGCTGACAATGTTGAAGAACCTTGCGTGTGTCCTTCTTCTAAGCCATCCAGCATCATTTTAGTTTAGTCTCCAAGGAAATTGATCTTGTTTACATGGTCAACATTGATTGCAGTTCGAATCCATTAATGCAGTGAGTACCCCGGCAGTAAAATATCCCAATTCCCCAGTCAACATACCACTTTCCTATGATCTTGTTCTTGTAGCCAGCTTTCTGCAGGAGTTCCGGGAACAGGATCTCCTCATCAGCAATACCTCCCGCTATGACTTGAGGTGTGTAAGCTGGAAGAAGTGGGAGTGAGACAGAGATAGACATGAAAGATAGAAAAGGAGAGTGAGACAGAGAGAAAGAGAGAGAGAGAGAGAGAGAGAGAGAGAGAGAGAGAGAGAGAGAGAGAGAGAGAGAGAGAGAGAGGGAGGGAGAGAGAGAGAGAGAGGGGGGGGGGAGGGAGCGCAAGAGCGAGAGAGAGAGAGAGAGAGAGAGAGAGAGAGAGAGAGAGAGAGAGAGAGAGAGAGAGAGAGAGAGAGAGAGAGAGAAAGAGAGAGAGACAGAGAGAGAAAGGGAGGGCAATACATAGATGTACATGTACCCATGTGACCTTGGTGTCGTGAGCAAGCGAAACACGACTTGCTTGATATCGACATAATACCACAGGCATAGTGTAGCACAAATCCCTTACTCACCATTCCTGGCATGGGCGTTTGTGGTGTAGAAACCGTTGCGAATAGGCAGCCTTCCACTGAGCAGTGCTGCTCTCGCTGCACCGACACCAGGACAAAACACCACACTGTTCGTTGTACACGTGCTCACCATCCCACTGACCATCCCACTGACCATCCCACTGACCATCCCACTGACCATCCCACTGACCATCCCACTGACCATCCCACTGACCATCCCACTGACCATCCCACTGACCACCCCACTGACCATCTCACTGACCATCCCACTGACCATCCCACTGACCATCCCACTGACCATCCCACTGAACATCCCACTGACCATCCCACTGACCATCCCACTGACCATCCCACTGACCATCCCACTGACCATCCCACTGACCATCCCACTGACCATCCCACTGACCATCCCACTGACCATCCCACTGACCATCCCACTGACCATCCCACTGACCATCCCACTGACCATCCCACTGACCATCCCACTGAATGGATAGAATGAGCATGTCTGCAGGACACAGGGACATAAGTTCAATTTCCCCCTCGAGATAACACTGCTAACGTTAGGGCCATGGACGTGCCAGTGTTAATTAACAAATTCCAACTCTCCTGGAATTCCAAGCGTGCAATGCAAAACCTAGACGTACTAATAGGCCTCCGGGCCGCCTATACCCACCACAAGAGTCTATCCCTCATGAACCGCTCTACCTGCGCACTGTTGAGTACTATGCTAGCAGGATGACTGTTGCCTGTCTAATGTGTAGACAAACTAGATCAGCCATGAATCCATGATGCATGCAATGGGGCTCAGTGCATGCAATGGGCTCAGTGCATGCAATGGGCTCAGTGCATGCAATGGGCTCAGTGCATGCAATGGGCTCAGTGCATGTAGAGATGCACCCTAACATGATTAGCAAAGGTTCATTGTCACAGTGTCACAGTGTCCCAGTGTCACAGTGTCACAGTAGCTGAGTGTCACAGTGTCACAGTAGCTGACCTGGGGCCGTGTGATCCCTCAGCAGCTGGCCGTTCGGGCCTGGAGCTGGAATGCGCCACTGCAAGATCTCACGGACATGTATTCAGCCTACAAGAAATACTTATATCTCCAAAGATAGATTCACCAGGACAGGACACATTAGGGTCCCTCAACTCAAATACCCACACACAGTCTTTTTTCTGTATACGTCACTTGAAATGTTCACCAAATTTTCGAGCCTGACTCATTATCACAGTGAAACTATTTCATGCAGCAATGTGACCGTGTTTGAGTGTTTTGAGTTGAGGGACTACAATGTGTAAGTGGCTGCAATGGAGTCTGCGAGCACGTAGAACAAGGAGAGGACACAGCAGGAATATTCAAGAAGTCAACTTGACGATGGAGTGGCGGTTTCACATATTCTACGACTATCAAGCTTACACGGTGAGCACAGCGGATTAGCTGAGTAGAAATCCGGAAACGTCATTCCATCAGCGGCCATCTTGTCCAGGTTGGGAGTTTCTTTCGCCGGATGGCCGAAGACCCCAAGATCTCCCCAGCCCATCTGTGGCACAATAATTCACGAACATAACAATATTCATAAGTTGGAAGGAATGAAAAAGGGAAAACACCCGAAGAAAAAATGATTGACACCCCAGGACTGGCACCAGGTACAGTGTGCCTTCGTTAAAGGCCAAAGATACTCATTACTGATCACTGAGCTATGGCGTGGCTATTATCCAAGAAGTGACTGTTCACCATTTTCTTCAGCATCAATGAGTCTTACGCATTTGTAAGGGGTTAGCTCTTCTACAAGAAGCCAGCTTGCCAGCAGATGGGAATAGCTAAGATGCTGCAACTTCGAAGCTACTATGTGAACAAGGTGGCTGCTCCAAATCCTGGAGCTAGCGTTTACTGCCAACTGACTTGACGCAGTACTGACTCACGTCAACGCCGGCGGAGAACATGAGAAGCCCAATGAGCCTTCCACTCGGCAAATCTGCAAGAAAGCACCACTCCCTGCTCAACACACAGTGGTATGGGGGAATTCTCCACTCATCAGTTGAGATTCGGCACAAATGAAATTTGTACTCCAGGAGCAATACATTTTTTAGGCTTATGAAATTGATGTTAGCCTACTAAAGCTCAACCGTGACGAGCGGTGAATTCCCCAGAACACTATACATTGAAGAGCGAGTGGTACTTTCTTGCAGGTTTGCCCAGTGGGCGGTCCAGCAACCTTCTCTTGTGCGCCATCTGGCAGTTGCGAGTCTGTGAAATGTCATGTCGGTCGGCAGGAAGAGCGAGCTTCGACGTTCATAGCATCCACCTTCTTCAACAATGGGAATAATCTTCAAGGAATGGTACAAAGGTCTGATCTGATCAAAGCAAGCCTGTTCTTGTAGCAAAAGAAGGCTTGCCCCCCCCCCCCCCCTCCCATACTCACCCCCGGCTGTTGCCTGATCAGCAACCGTATACTAGCAGCACGAGTTGATTAGCAGTACCCATACCCAATCAACACATTGCTCGATACCGACACCCACTCAACTGCAGTGGAGCTACAGTCCAAGCATAACATTGACAGTCACAAGAACACAGAAACACGGGACGCTGAAGAGCTCCGCTTCAGGCAACCAGTGCTCTTAGTTTTGAGATTCTAGCCTCCTCTTTCCTAATCTGTTTTATGTACTGTTGTGTACATTGAAGCCCGTTGAGAAGTCTTGCAGCCGCGAGCACTGCTGGTCCAGTTCTACAGTGTGTACGTGAACTACAGCGTGTCTACGAACTAAGGCAGTAAGGTTGTAGGCCTCGGTCATTGCACCGGGTTTCAAAAGACTTATGTCCACAGCATTGTCATTTGCTTGGTACTCGTACCCATACACTGAGTCTGTGCATGCCATGTTACATGAAAACCACACTGGTCTCCCTAAACGTTTGCTTCCAGTGAGGCCGCGACGTGCTTTAAAAATGGGTGACTGTCTACCCCGGATGATCACACAGGCACAAGGTGCAGTGGAAAGAAATCTGAATCTGCGCGTCTCTTCCGAGTCCTGTCCCCGGGGAAAATCGCGATTCCGCGGCCGCGTTTTTTTCCCCACGTTTTTGCGATTTTTAAAAGACCGCGTTTTCCGCGTTTTTCCCGCGTTTTTGAACTTTTTTGTTGCACTACACGTACACACAGTGCACTGTTCGGTTGACCGTTGTGAGCCGTTGACGCCACAAACTACATACTCACTGAAAACAATAATTGCCTCATATGATCATATCAACTGCAAACTTGCTGCATATCAATAATATTCACCGCATATTTACCGCAAATTCACCGCAATTCGAGAGGTTAAGTTTCACGTAAAATTCTTACGTCCGTGAACTTTTACGTCAAAAAGTAAAAAAACTCACGTAAAATTTGACGTGTTTTACGTGAGTTGACTGTCCCGCACGTAAGTTCATGATGTGGGTTTTGGAAGTTTCGCTTGGTTATCCCGATCGAATTTGTGTGAGTTTCCGGAGTTTATCGAGTTTGTTGGAAGGTTTGATATTTGAATAGGCGACGAGGAGACAATAACTTTATTAAGGCGATTAATAGTATAAGTGAAGCGGACATTACGAAATGATGAATGAGAATACATGTATCAAAATTGATGTTCCTAATCGATTTTCTTGAGACTATCGTCAGGGAAAAATCGTCTCACAATAGAGGCTATACGGAGAAACAAACTACTTATAGGTCTATAGGATAGTGGGAAGTATACAAGGTGAGGTTTGAAAAAAGTGGGAGAGAAGACGAAAGAAATTAGAAGAAAAAATGTGAGAGTGTTCCGACAGTGTGAGCTACTACAAAAGGTGAGTGAAATGAAGGCGTGGAAGCAGGTGAATGTGATAGAGTGAGGAACTGTGAGGTGTAGGTGTATGCGAATGAATACGTGTGTGAGTGCTCTCACATTTTTTCTTCTAATTTCTTTCGTCTTCTCTCTCACTTTTCACACCTCACCTTGTATACTTCCCGCTATCCTATAGACCTATAAGTAGTTTGTTTCTCCGTATAGCCTCTATTGTGAGACGATTTTTCCCTGATGATAGTCTCAAGAAAATCGATTAGGAACATCAATTTTGATACATGCATTCTCATTTATCATTTTGTAATGTCCGCTTCACTTATACTATTAATCGCCTTAATAAGGTTTGATATTTGTGCGAACTAAACCCGAATCCTGCCAGGCAAAATTTCACGTCACGTCGCACGTGTAGCTTAACCTCTAAAAATTACACGTAACGTGAGATTTGCACCGCGTTTTGAAAAAGGGTAAAAAAACTTGTAACTTAACCTCTCTAATTATGCCATATTTACGCGCAAATTACACCGCAAATTCTGGGATTTTTTCCGCGATTTTCCCCGGGGACAGTGAGTCAGACTTCTTGCCTCTACGTGATAACTGAGTATCAGGAGAATGAGCTCAACAGAGTAAACAGTGGACTGTCCCAAGGCTGCAAAGAAATCTTATCTAACGACTTTTTTTGTTACGTACGTCATCCATGAGCATGAAGACAAAGTTAGGCTTCTTGGTTAGCGAAGCTCCGGTCAGCGGCGATGAAGCGATTGCTAGTACTAGCAGCAGGACGACTGCAGCATTGCCATCCATACTTGCTGGAGGTTGCGAACTCAGTACTTCAGCGCTGCACTGTCTGCACAACCTACGAAAATATTCGCCAATGAAACTAACTGTTACTTGTGGCGATCATTGGATGTGGAAGAAAGGCTAGAATTAGAAACGAGTCCTTACCACTGAGCTGTACTGTCTGTGAGTGTACATAAATTATAATTGTGGGGCTGCAGTCCACGTGCCAGAAGCCGATTTTACAGAATGCCATTTTTGTTGACAGGTTGGGACCAGTGCTACATGTAGAATCTACATGACATGATTGTACAGGCATGGTGCCCGACGATACCAAAAAGCCGCATTCATCCGTACGTCTTCGTCGCTTGGTCTTTCTCTACAACCAGGGAGTCGTCAAGTACCATATTTGACGACTCCCTGCCGCAAACCATGGTATTCATAATAATAATAATAATAATAATAATAATAAAAGACAGGGGTGCTGGGTTCGAATCCCGCTCGTGGATCCTTCTTTTGCACACACGTATACGATACTACATGTACTGTATTACTCAGCAGTTGTCGGCTAACAATTATCACATGGCTTGGAAACACTGAGTCTGTGCTTGGCGGTGAAGGACAGAAATGATTATCTATTCAGTTTCTAGGGGAGTCCTCTCCAGTCCAGGCTATCCATCATGATCTGGAATGAAGTACTGGCGTTGGATCGGCTGCGATTCGAGCTGCAGCGCCGTTTAGTCGGCGATGTGGACGAAATCTTGGATCACCTTATCAAGGCCGGTATTTTTAGTAGCAGTGATCTGAACTACGTCAAGGTCAGCACCAGCCCACTGAGTCCTGGTCGAGTGGATGACCTGCTACACTATCTGTATAGCGTTGGCGAGAGAAAGGAGTGCGAACACGCTTTCAGCGCCTTCTGCAGAGTGCTGAGAGACTATCTGGGTTTAGCAAACCTGGCTGAGTCGTTGGAAGCAGAGGCGAAGGTTTGCGAGAAAACAATGGGGCCAGAAGATGCGACCAGTTGTGAGCTGGTGCGAGCCATGGAAAGTCTAGATTCACGTGTTGAGCGAAAGGTGGTGGAGGAACTGGCCAAGAAACTCGAGTGTGGAGCCGCGAGTTCGAAGGGTGACCGTGAAAATCGAACAGTTGATGAATGCGCACAGATTCTGAAGAATCACCTTGGCAACCTGAATGAGAGTTTCTGCGGGATGAGCCAGGATGGTGCTAGCTGTCTGTCCTACTTGAATACCGACGTGCGTCAATGCTTCGTGCCACTGCAAGCCATAAGCGAGAAAGAAGCACAGCGCGAGACTTTCCAGCATCACCGTCGGACACGGACACTCGCAGCTGCAAAGCAACGTCAGCGAGGAAGCAGAGCAGCGAGTGCGTTTAAGCGGCCTAGCCGGCAACACAATGAAGACGAGATTTCGCCGATGGGGAGAGAATTTGTGCTGAAGAACGCTATACAACTGCTGAGCAGTAATGCAGAGCACTATACTGTTGTAAACCAGAAGAGCGATGCAAGTCTTGATGCTGCAAGTCAGGCAGGTTCAGCAGCCAGCAGTAGCTGTGTGCAGCTGAAGACCAGCTCCATGGTGATTGGTGGAGCTGGTCAGGGCAAGACCATGTTGTGCCAGCGTGTCGTAGCTGAAGTGACGGATGCCAAGTCGGGACCTCTGGCGGAGTTCAACTACGTCTTCTACATTCCATGCCGCTATCTGCAACGGATCAAGAGCAGTAAGTGCAGCGAGCTGTTAGGCTTGCATGACCCTGCGATGGGTCTGAATGAAGTTGAGCAGACAGCATTACTGAACTACCTACAGGCAAATTCCAAGCAAGTACTGGTCATCTTGGACGGCATTGATGAAGCTGGTGGCGATGGATTCTCTGACCAATCAGCAGCTAAGTTGTTGATGCAGCGCCATGGCAGCGCATCTTTTGCTAGCCGGCTGCTTAACGCCACGATAATCGCCGCAAGTCGCCCGTGCCAGGCAGCGTACGATCTGGTCAAGGCATGCTCCTCACACTATCGACTGCGTGGATTCAATTCCTCTCAGCTAGAGAAGTTTTGCATTCAACAGCTTGGTGAGACAGCGGGCCAGCAGTGCTTTGAAGAACTGTGTACAGTCAACTTCGCCAATAACGACATTCGGCGGGGCATCAGAAAAGTGTCCTTATAACCGAAGTCCCATTTGAATGTATGGGAACCCATATTTTGTATAGTATGATATGCATATCAAAATCAAGCTCTTTTCTTGCTCTATGTCAATGTGTACTTTATTTTCATATTGCAGTTGAAAGGAACTAAAAATTCAATATGCAAGGGAAATCAATTGAAAAATATGCCTTTTTGAGCCATCTACAGGGCTAGAGATATGTACATGTATGATGATTACTGTACAATCATGTACAACTACATGTACATTGTATACATATAGGTGTGCTGGTAAATCCAACAATTTTGAAGCCAACATAAAAAAAGGAAGAAAAGCCCCCCCCCCCCTTGGCTGCATTTTCTGGCATGTGTGCAATAATATCCATCACCAGTGCAGTGCACCATAGGTTCTGGTACTTCTGCATGACAGGTACATGTACTTGACTGACAGGTACTTGAAATAGCTGTCAAAAGCCCAGAAAGTCGTTATTCAAGCAGTGAATATGACCACGGGGCACTAAAAGCATGTCGCTATACGCGAATTGTCGTTATTCAGATAGTCGTTATATCCGAAGTTAAATGTATACAGTTAGATGGGACTTTGCTCTGGGCATGGAAATTCGGTCGTTATTCGCGAATTGTCGTTATATCCGCAGTCGTTATTAGCGAAGTTGACTGTACTCGTGCCAATCGTCCACTGAAGGAGGCAATTCGCAACACACCCTTGCTGTGTTCTCTTCTTTGTCACCAGTACGGCTTTGAAAAGGTCATACCTTCAAGCGTCACACTGTTTTACAAGCAGTTCATGTGTTCGGCAGTGTCAAAGCTGGAAGCAAGTCGAGGCGAGAGCTTTGGTAAAGTCCAGCTTGGCTGCAGCGTACTCAGTCATTTGTGTGGTGGACGGCAGTTTGACGAGGGGCAGCTGGTGTCTCTGGAGACGGTTGTCCACTATCACTTGGAGAACTCGATCTCTATTCATCCCCAGCGGGCTGGAGAGGGGCGGTGTGATCCTGCTGCTGTTGAGGTGGTGCAGGCGCTACTCAGCCTCAACGAATTATGTCTCAAGGAACTGCTGCGCAATTGCACAACATTTCCCTCTAATTCCTTGGATGGCCGGCATTTACTGATATGGCAGAACCTTGGACTGACGCAGCACTTTGAAGCAGCGCCGTTTGGTGGCAGAGAACAGCTCACCACACTGGCTCACTTGACTGTGCAAGAATGGTGTGCCTCCAGAGCTCTTACTGCATCTGACAAATGCATTGATGCCATCGGGGACTGCATCCAGGACGTAGGAGTGGAGGAGAGCCGTCACGTCTTCTGGAGATTCGTCTTCGGCGAGCTCCATCCACAGTACCTGTGTTCTGCGTTGGATGTGGTGCGGTCTGTTGCGGTCGACACTACCACGGGCAAATTGAGCAAGAAGATGTTCTTGTTCATGATGCGTGCACTGCTTGAAAACTACCTCTCGCTCCAGTCTGATGTTGTAGCAGCTGATGACGACCATCCAAGCCAGGCTGTGTACGCAGCGGCTGCATCAAAGCTAGCAGAAGAAGGGGTGGACGTTAGTAGAATACGCCTGGACACAAACGACGTCATGGCCATATGCAACGTCCTTGAGCTTGCTGAGCATGTACCATTGCTGAACGTCGATAATTGCAATCTCTCTGATGAGCACTTTGATAGGTTGTCTACCGTGCTGGACAAGGCGGTGAGCGTTGATGTCGGTGGTATGCGTCTCAGTGGCTTTCCATTGGAGAGTATTGCTGCAGCTTTGTCAGACTCCACGCAGCAGAGCCATCTGAAGACACTGTTTCTCACGAATGCGTTTTTCATGCCTGGAAAAGACTATGAATCTCTCGTTCGGTGTGCCCAGCATCCAAGCCTATCGACGCTCATTGTCGGAGGTCATCCTGATGTAACAAGGGCTCTATCTAACGATGGACTTAGAGCATTTGCTGACGGCCTAATGGATTCTTCACACCTCAACTCACTCTTCTTTCCGGCTTGCAACCTGCTGAATGGTTGTGGAGCGGCCCTCGCTACACTCTCTCAGAAAGTACCATACCTGACAACACTCGGGTTATGGGAAAATGCACTGTCCAAAGATGACGTTGCATGTACACTGCACGCTCTGCATTCACATTCCAACATTCAAATTCTAAACTTTGACAACAATGGATTGGGAGACGATCTTGCGCCCAGCGTCATTGCCTTTCTGCAAGCCAGAAGAGCACGGACCAGTCGAAACGAGTCAACAGCTACTAGTGGCAGTCTTGGACATCGGCAGCCTCTACCGACTTGTAACATATCTTTGAAGGGGAACAACATCTCGACCAAGCTCCTCAAGGACATTGCTGAGTCCGGCAATTGTGGCAGCGACATTGTAGACATCAGCAGTCACTGGGTGTATGGTAACTCAGTTCTGCAACGCTCTGTACAGGAACTAGTGGAGGGAAAAGGTGGCAGACATTACGGCATGTTGACTGATGACATGATGGGTGCACTTGGGCAGTACCTTGCGACCAGCACTGAACTGTCTATCGTTGAAGTCTGCTTTTCTCAACTTACTGATACGGGAGTAACCACACTAGCAATGGCAGGCATGGCTGAGAATAGATCCGTAAAAGTTATTGACTTCTTCGGTAACAATATCAAGTTGCCTGGAACAGTTTCATTACTGGAAGCTGCAGCATCACCACTCTCTGGTATTCGTGCACTGTCCCTTGAGAAAAACCCAGTGTTCCACGATATCAACACCAGCCATCAAGAGTATCCACGTCTACTGCAGAGCTTGTCTAGCTGCAAACAGCTCCACTTCCTCTCCTTAGAAAGAACCGGCATGTCGGACGAGGTTGGTGCTGACATTGTGCGATGCCTGAAACATCTTCCACACATTAGTTGGCTTGAGCTGTCGCACAACGATATCGGAGATGATACAGCTCGTGCCCTTGTTGAGCTCAGCGAAGCCAATTGCAGCTTACGACATGTCTGCCTCGTG